CACTTCTTTCTCTTTTACTCCGACGAAGGACTAGCGTCCGAAACGTCAGTAAGTTTTTTCATCTTTTCACGGTGTATAATTTACCTTTTCATCATTACTCTACCACAGGAATCCCACACCTTCATTCTAAATTAAAGACGAAAAATCCAAAATAGAAAAGTAAAGTAAAAATATATTAATACAAATTATTAGCAAAGGAATAAAATATCTATAAAGTATACGTGAAAGACAAAAAGATACTATAAAACAAACTTTTACGATTTGCATATATAAACATTGTTAATGCCTGCTGACGTCAGTTGCCAAGGTAACGAAGGGTTATTCGAGAGTCAATAGAGTGGACATATTGTTGGCTTAGATATTCGTGTTTTATTCGTATTTAGTGAGATGTAATTTGTTATAATGTCTCTACCTGCCATCGTTCCTGCTTCAGAAGAACAGCTAGATCAGTTAAACGTCAAGAAGCCAGTGAAGTAAGTATTAAGGTTATTAGATACGATCATATAGCACGAATTATATAAACTGAACTCTGAAGATATAACTAGTTAAAAACTAGTGTGAGCTGCGTTGGTGTTTCTAATGAAACAGTAATGATAAAAAGGAACGTCAGTAAGTTTTTTCATCTTTTCACGGTGTATAATTTACCTTTTTATCTAAACTGAACTCTGTGATCAATTTTTCTGATGAAAGCTATCACTATTACTTAAGAATATAACAAATGGTCAAAGAATAACAGTTATACAATTAAGCTTACCTTCAGCTGTAGCTCGTTACATATAAGCCTTTATACAATTAACTAGTTCATCTCTTCTGGTTCATGTAAAAATTGGACAATTCCTTGTTTGAGGACTCCAAAAAATACCTTAGTATTAAATAAACTCCAGAAAAGGGTTCAGAATTCTGTAGGCTCTTAAATTATATTAAACAAATAATTGATCACATACCACAACAGACGCAGAGAGAAGGATAATTGCAAGGACTTATTTTGATCATACAAAAGGCTATAAACATTATGGCACCATCTTACTTCATCTTAGTCCAAGAAATGTTGGAAGAATATGTATTTCTTAACAAACCGCTCATAGATTTCCATTCGCAGTCCTCTTATTGATCATAGGAGGATCTTAAAATGTTCAAAGTTCAAGTGGAATCATGCAGCGAGACTCAGTTTCACTGTGTCTGTCCTCTTATTGATCATAGCTGTTGGCCAATGAGATTAAGAAAACACATAACAGTTATCCACCCAAGGCAAAGTGATTATCAGTGAATATTTACCAAGCCTTGAGTCATGGAGCAGCGAGGTTAATATTCACAACCAAAACTGAGCCTGAGGTGAATAAAGGTTTTAGTATCATAATCTAAGGTTAAAATATCAGAGATGAAATTCAGGATAAAAAAAAATCATTGATTCTGCTTTGAAAAAACTCATAGCAGTGATTATCATCTCAGAATCACTGGTTGCTCAATCAATCTCAGAGTGTGAAACTCTAATGTCTTAAATAGAGTTATATATAACTTTCAGTGCTGTGTCTTGAAATGGGTATGTTTTTTCAAGATATTCTTGTCTTACTTTGCTAGGGTCAAGGTTTTTCGTATATCGCAGTGGCATATCTCTAGCCTGCGGGGGGGGGAGGGTACTCCCACATGTGGACTATATGGGGATGATCCGCTGAACAGGGTATTTTATGGTTTTTCGAGCTTCTTGTCATAATCAGGGTGTTTACAACTTTTATTGGGAATAAATCAGGAAGGAAAATTACAGAACCAACATGCTAGCCAAAGCGGAAAGTGCGAACGGGACTGTAGGTCCCATGCTAGGCATTTCCTTTTGACTAACGATATAAACTAGTGAACCAAGAACGGCCAAAAAATGATTGAAGGACGTTCAAACAAACAAAAGTCCCTGAGGTTATTATCRAGTTATTATCGAGTACGATGACAAGGACAAGGGTATGCAATTTCACTCAAGTTCCAAGTTCTTCCTGAGTTTCTTGTCATATTCAGGGTTTCTACTTTCGTATTGACCGAAACTGGTTATCATGGTCGTCAAAAAAAAAAAAAAAAAGATATCTTTTGTCATAAACAGGTTCTACAAATTTAAGGTTTTTTTTGTCATAAACAGGGTACCCCTTTCAGAATCCTAGTGGAACACCCCTACCCAAATCCTGGTGGAGTACCCCCCRAGATCTCTAGATCCTTGCAACACCCCTGGTACCCCCTGTACATCTATACCTAATTCCATTAATTAAATGAATATAGTTTCTAATATCCAATACATTATTTAGACCAACTCATTTTGTTTCAGATCTCATCATGGTAGTGCAAACCATAGTATGTATTCAAAGAAGACGGCCACTAAAGCAAATCGTGCTACCAAGAAAAAAAGTGAAGCAGAAGCCAAGGCAGCCAAAGAAAGGGAGGAGGTGAGAATAGCTCATGGTTTAATCAATTGCCGGGGGAGGGGTACTCTGCCAGAATTTGGGTAGGGGCGTTCCACTGGGATCTAAAAGGGGTACCTCTTTATGACAAAAAAAGCTCAAATTTGTAGACCCTGTTTATGACAAAAGATATAATTTATTGCACTGAGTTCCTGAACAACAAGATAAATTGAATTCAGATTATCCTTTATACAGCCAAGTAGTACCCCCACTCGCTGTTCGGTTTTGGTTCTTTTGAGAGTGGAGTACCAGGACTGTTCATATACTCGTAGTACAGTACATGAGTATAGTAAGATCAAAATTAATATACAGTATGTTAACAGAATACTATTTCTTCGATATATGTGACTAGTTAGCTGATGAACCTACAATTTAGATGGTCAATATTTGTTATTTTTGTTTTCTGTTTAGAATTCCCATTTTAGACCACTGCAAAGTCRACATTCCCTTGAGTACTATGTTACTATATTTTTGTTCACCATGCAGTATAATAATAAATGATAATAATGGGATACTTCTATAGCGCATTTCAAATATCTCAATGCGCTTTACATTTATAACCAGTGGAGGACTTTAGGGGCTGCATATTAAGGCACTAATGACAGCCGTGCAGCTTAGAATCATGAGTAATTTGTTAGTAAGTTAGTATTAATGCCTCCAGATTGGGATAGGCTGTTGAACCGGGAGACAATCCGTTCCTTTATGTCCCCTATTTACTGTAGGTTAGGAAGGGTTGGGAGACAGGGCCTACAGTTTTAAGTCCTTGTCCGAGAAGACTTGAAGGTCTAACCATTTGCAGGTGTAATTACAAAGGCAGCACCTTCTCCTCAGTTATTTTAAGACGGTGAGTGTTGGTCCGGCCGAGGCTTTGACCACAACTGACCGACGCTCTAATACCAACTGAGCTAACTGGGCAGCAGTTAAGGCTTGTGTGGATTGATGCAGACACATTTACACATTTACACGCAGTTAAGGCTTGTGTGGATTGATGCAGAAATTAAGAACTTAAGTTAACTTTTCACATTTTTAAATTGGTCTTTAAAAGGCTGGAATAGCTTTTGAAAAATTAAAATTGAAATGAATTGAATTTTAAAATGTATATATAAAGAAGAAAAAAATGGAAAATGAAAAAATGCATTTATACTGTAGCTTTTGGACAATAAGTATATGTAATAGGACTCCATGCTGTCCAATTAAGAAATAATTGGAC